TAATGTGTTGTAGTCTTTAGAGTCATTAAACTGAGCCTTGGTTAGTGTGTATCCCTCAGACAGCCTCTCTCTCTGACTCATTAAACTGAGCCTTGGTTAGTGTGTATCCCTCAGACAGCCTCTCTCTCTGACTCACCTCCTGCTCAGGACTCCAGGGTCTCCCTCAGGCTCCATACAGTATAACACATCTCTTCAGGAGAAAGATGTCTCACTCAGAAAGGCTAACCAGTGAACACAAACATAAGACTGTGGGAAGACAGTCATCAATATGATGCTGTCTGCAGAAGCCTGAACATGTGATAGCTACTTTTACTTTTATATAAACAGAAATAAAAGTAAGAAAACATTACAGAATAGTCTGTAGGCTACTCCAGAATACAGATGTACTTGACTAACACCTATTGTTGACACACACTAAAACTGTATCAGAAGAAACGTATAAATATTATATATAATTGGTCAGAACTACACTCGAATTACACTTCTTGGTTATACAGCATGGTAGCTATTTTGATGTTTTAACATATAGACAAGAAGGTAAATAATAAGACATAAATGCAGTTTCCCCCCCGCCCCCCTCGAAACACTACATGCTTGGATTAAAGTTTTATCCTCTAGGCCTACCTGTTTTCTCTGACTTACTGAGCTTAGTTGGGTTCACAAATAACTTTAGGATCCAACTCAGTACTTCAACTCCATCTCTTCCTTTTTCTCCCATCAGCTTCGTGTTAAGTTTCACTTTAACTTGCTAAGGTTTGGCTTGAAAAGCTGAGCACTGCTGTGTGTTGGTGTATTCTAATACAATGGCACCATCTTGTGGGGGTCCAGTTTCGTGATGGCGTGTGTAACTTGTCTGAGGGGATTGATGGCATTACATGGTATTAAGTGGTTCAAAGGGGTAACCATCTGCCTTAGGGCCTTGTCATGTGTGGCTGCATCCTCCCAGGCCATGCACCCATGTTGTCACAGTAGCGACAACTCCAGTGCAGCCAGACAGAATGGTGGTGGACATGATTTTCTAAAAGCACCTTGGAGCAGAGTTCAACCCAAAGGACATACAAGTGCACCCCAATGTGTCACCAACGCCAAAGATTTTTATAACTATACCAAGATAGACCACAGCTTGTCGTTTCCAATGGGAACAAGTGAGTCATAGTGGGCAGAACAAGCAAGGAGGTGGGCAGAGCCAAGCATGCGCTAGTGATATCCTATTGGCGCGTTCTAGTATACATCTGCATATTTCTGTTAGGGAACGCCTACTCTGTGAAGTGTGCATGTGCAATAATTCAATTCACCTTTGCACTCCTTCTAAACAGCGCCAACTTTTAAAACTTTTGCAAAGGGTAAAGTCTACAAAACGTAGTCCACTCTGTTCATAACAGATTCTAGTTTTTGGAACAGAAAACTGTATTGAGATCAAATGTTTAATCGATGATAAAATTTACAGAACGTCGTCCAAAATCCATCTCATTCCATCTTCTCCCAGTGCCCGCTAGTGGGCTTCATCTCACTCCCATATTTGGTAGTGAGTGGAAACGCCAACCGGATGCTTCACATTTATACATCCAGTGAAATATCAGTCTCATTGTTCTATATGTACCAATGCAGTGAGTCAGCAGGAAGGCATGTTGGATTCAGGCAGCCATATTGGATTTGCAATCAACCAAAGTTTAGGGTGTCAAACTAAATTCCTGGAGAGACATGTGTCTGCTAGTTTTTGTTATTTCCTTTCAATTTGTGTCCAATGTAGACCTCGACAACCAGTTGAGGGGAGTTCCTAACTAATCAATTAATTACCTAGGGGAGGTACAAAATTCCGCAGACACCCGGCCCTTGAGGACTGGAGTTTGACAAATGCTTTAGGCTAATACTCCTAGTTACACCAATATCCTTATCAATCATATTGGATATTTACATGCAAAAAAATAAACAAGACAATATAAAAAGACAGGAGTGTATGTAGTTTCCTTAAACAACATTTTAATGATATTATTAATCAGTCCAGATGAAGAAGAACGAGAAAAGCCTCTACATGTTGCTAGTACTGTACAGTCAGAAAGAGAGAGCCATAGAAAGACCAGGGACACACTGGGAAAAGAAAAGCTACTTCATTCAACCATTTTGTTTTCATATTAGTTACCAGAGAATGTGGTTACTAGTATTATGGTATTTAGATAGTGCAAACGACACACTGGTTGTCATGGCTCCAAAACACACTGATGAGAGTTACAGCTACCGAGAAACCTGCACACAGCCTTTTAGTACTAGACACACCTTCATTATCACCTGTATCAGGGTTGGGCTCAATTCAACTGATTAATAAAAAATAAAAAATAAATACTCATAGAAAACATGGTCCATTTTCAATTTACTGATTTGTTATTGATTTTCTCTCAATTAAAATGTTTTCTATTGAATTGAATTTCAATTCGCTTCCTGAATTGAAAAATGAATTGACCCAACCCCTGTCTTTGTATGTTATTACACAACTCACAGCTCCCCCTCACCCCTCCTTCCTTCATATTGCATATGACCCAACATGCCGCTCCTATACATGGCATCCTCCTCCTCTATCTAATAATACATAACTTGATTTCTCTATCATTTACCATCAAATTACATTATCAATTTATTCAAACTCTTAATTTATATATATTTTTATATCAAATGGCTTTAAGGTAAAGGTGATTGGGGTGTTTAATACACTGTAGTTCAAACATTTTATTTGTTTACATTTTATTTACATGGTTTTAACTGGCGATCTGGATAATTACTTCATGAAAATTCAGAGACTCCTGTGGTGGCTCCTCCCTTTGACTCCTGTGTTATCAGTGAGTCACATGTCCAGGGTCAAGATGGACTACCTGTCGGCTTCAAACCCAAATAGTCTCTGATAACAGCTAGTTACAGTACATTTACCTGTCCACCCCAACAAACACACACAAGAGGTACCACCGGTCAATGGACTGGGACCTAAACCAAATAAAACCAGAGGGCTATAGTAAAACACAGAAGTCAGCTAGCAACAACAACAAAAAACAATCCACTCAGAAAACAACCCCAAACAGATTAACACTGGTCAATATTATCATCAATATTCGAGGTTAAAGTCTCAGAAACAGCTATACAGGTTATGTACATCATCAATTTGTTCTAGTTTCAGTTAGTGTTAGTGCACTACCGTTCAAAAGTTTGGGGTCACTTAGACATTTCCTTGTTTTCGAAAGAAAAGCAATTTTTGTCCATTAAAATAACATAAAATTGATCAGAAATACAGTGTAGACATTGTTAATGTTGTAAATGGCTATTGTAGCTGGAAACAGCTGATTTTTAATGAAATATCTACATAGGTGTACAGAGGCCCATTATCAGCAACCATCAGTCCTGTGTTCCAATGGCACGTTGTGTTTGCTAATCCAAGTTTATCATTTTAAAAGGCTAATTGATCATTAGAAAACCCTTTTTTAATTATGTTAGCACAGCTGAAAACTGTTGTGCTGATTAAACAAGCAATAAAACTGGCCTTCTTGAGTATCTGGAGCATCAGTGATTGTGGGTTCGATTACAGGCTCAAAATGGCCAGAAACAAATAACTTTCTTCTGAAACTCATCAGTCTATTCTTGTTCTGAGAAATGAAGGCTATTCCATGTGAGAAATTGCCAAGTAACTGAAGATCTCGTACAACGCTGTGTACTACTCCCTTCACAGAACAGCGCAAACTGGCTCTAACCAGAATAGAAAGAGGAGTGGGAGGCCCCGGTGCACAACTGAGCAAGAGGACAAATACATTAGAGTGTCTAGTTTGAGAAACCGACGCCTCACAGGTCCTCAACTGGCAGCTTCATTAAATAGTACCCGCAAAACACCAGTCTCAACGTCAACAGTGAAGAGGCGACTCCGGGATGCTGACCTTCTAGGCAGAGTTGCAAAGAAAAAGCCATATCTCAGAGTGCCCATCTTAATCTTTTCTTTTTATTGGCCAGTCTGAGATATGGCTTTTTCTTTCCAGCTACAATAGCCATTTACAACATTAACCATGTCTACACTGTATTTCTGATCAGTTTTATGTTATTTTAATGGACAGATAAATTGCCTTTCTTTCGAAAACAAGGACATTTCTAAGTGACCCCAAACTTTTGAACGGTAGTGTATATGTCATGTTTTCAAGGGACACGCCATTACTTTTTAACACACCATTTTTACATTAGTAGACACTGGTATGGTGCTGGAGATAACTATGAGGTTAAAAAGTGGTGATATGTCCCTTTAAATCACACCTACTGAGAAGAATACAGGATTACTGTGATGGTTGTCAGTTGACCAACGTCAGAAACACATCATGTAGGTTTGCAAATTCCAGTAACTTTCCCAAAATTCCAAGGTTGGAGGATTACGTATATGTTCTGCTTATTCCCATCAGATTTTGTGAACCTTCCAACTGGAATTCCTGGAAAAGCTGGGAATTTTGCAACCCTAACAACATTTTAGATTGGTTTTGGGAGACAGAGCCTGTGTATCCAATCAGGGTCATGCTGCAGATAGAAGCACCATGAATAGAGCTGACATGATTCCTCTACATGTCAGAGAGGCATGGCTGTTCTACATAATAATATTTTCTATCTGAACTGAAAATTGCACATAGTTGTGCCCTGCTCAATGCAGCCTAGGTGATGGCCGTAAACTAACCTCAGGTTACAGGTAGTCCTAAAGCCAATAGGAAACTAATACACAAGCAACCAACCAATAAGCAATAAGTATCCTACACAAGTCCCTCCCTCCCAGAGCATGCTATGACGACACAGTGGGGGAATAAACAACGCAGACAGGTCAGAATAGAATGGAGTTGTATTGGATTGAGATAAAGCTGTAGTTACACAGTGGGGGAACATACGATGAAGCAGATACAGGTAATAAACATGGGAAGGATGACGACGCTATAACATAAGCCTTTGATGATGGGGACACACACACACACACACACACACACACAGCTGTAAACTCAGCTCTGCAGGGGCTCAGCAATCTTCTGCTTGGACTGAACCGCCAGACTCTTCTCCTTCACTATGAAAAACCCAGGGATGACGGAGGGAGGGTGGCTCTCTAAAAGGAGGGAGAGTTCTCTTTTTACAGTCAGCAGTCTCATTGAGAGTTCTATCATCTCGGTGGCTCTGCGTCATACAGACAGAGGGGAAGCCTCTCCTCACAGCCTCTTCCTATCCTGGGGAAACCTGGAGTGGTAGGAAGGGAACCAGGCCTGGGCTTCCCTTAGCCAGACCAGACCAGACCAGTCGAGCCCATTCGATGTCAGACCAGTCGATGCCAGATCGACCAGACCAGACCAGTCCAGTCCAGTTTAGGTGAGGCAGTTGTTTCAGGTCCACATCAGTGAGAGGAGGATGAGAGGAACAGAGGAGTCTATCCATCAGAGAGACCAGGAGAGTTCTGCAGTCTGAAGGTTGGTCTGTGTGAGTGACTGTATGTCTGTCTCTGTGTCTGTGTGAGTGACTGTATGTGTCTGTGTCTGTCTGTCTGTCTTTGTATGGTCTGATTCCTGAGATAATGTCTGAAGTCCAAAGTTACAGACAGAGGAGAGGAGAGCTGCTGGTTCAACTGTGTGAGAGATAGAGGGAGGGGGAGGAGAGGATGAGAGAGGAGGAACGAGTGTGTGATAGAGGTGAAAGGGTGCATGTTAGGGGAACAGGTGCGAGAGAGGGGGAGTGAGGAAGACAAGGGATGGAGTGTACACAGAGAGAGAGAGAGAGAGAGAGAGAGAGAGAGAAAACTTAGAGAGAAACAAAAGAGAAAGAGAGAGAGAGGGAGAGCGGGGGATGAAGGAGGTCTAATCAGCCAGTGATTTTCTTGGCCTCCATATTCTCCGTCCTCTCCAGTCCCGTCTCTGTGACATCAGCAGAATCCAACTCCTCTTCCTCCTCACTCTGCCCTCCCTCCTCCTCCTCTTCTTCCTCCTCCTCCTCCTCTGTGCTGTCCGGGCTCTTCCCCAGCTGAAGGTTCTCCAGCGTCTTAGACACCCAGGACTCAATACGGCTGATGACCGCAGGCACCTCCACAGAGATGGGCTCTGGTGTGTACTCTTCCTCCTCCTCCTCCTCTTCCTCTGCCTCCTCCAGCATACCAGGGACCAGGGTGGAGGTGGTGGATGTGATGGAGGAGTTGAGGAGGTCCCTGCAGCTCCCATCCAGGCTACCTGTCTCCGTGCTCTGCTGGGAGGCCAGCTCCAACCGGTCGTCTGCCCGGCCCTCCTCTCTCTCCCCCGGGCCTGAGGCTGGAGCATGGACGGCTGCTCTGAGCTGGAGGGTAGTGGAGTAAGGGCTGCGGTTAGTGGTGGTGGAGGGGGGCTGGTTGTCTCTCTGCAACCCGGAGGAAGCAGCGGTGCGCCTGGGTTTAGCCTCCACAGGCTCCAGCCCGTCTGACGACTCCACCATACTCCTCCAGTTGGTCTCTGAGGAGAGAGAGAGGGGGAGGAGAGAGCGGGAAATAGAGATTTCAGATTTCATGTAAAGAGAGAGACTGAGCTCAAAGATGGGTCAGGATCAGAGTCAGGGTTAAAGGTCGGGATCAGGGTCATCGCTTACCGTACTCCTTCTCGTTGACCTCAGAGATGGGTTCAGAGATGACAGAGCAGAAGGAGATGGCGGAGGCGGCGGAGGGGTTCCTGGAGTGGCCCATGTGGTGGGTGACCTTCTTGACGTTTTTCAGCGCCTCCTCAGCCTGCTCCTGCTCCAGCGCTGACACCATGTCCTTGTAGGACTTACGAGCATCCTCCGTCAGAGACACCAGCCGGTTAAACAGACCCTAGAGGAGGGGGGAGAAGGAGGGGTGGAGGACGGGAGAGGAGAGAGAAAGAGAGAAAGACATAACATCAAGATTTTACACACTTTCATTAGTTTTTTTTTTTCTGTAAACAAAGACACCAACTTAAGGTATTAACAGTATAAGTGTGTCCTTACCTCTGCTAACAGTATTAACAACCGTTATAAACACACAGACAGGTTTGTGTTCAACGTCTTACCTCTGCTCCAGAGAAGTTGAAGATGCCCACCACACTGACAGGCACCAGTTTGTTGACACAGCGTCCCAGAGCCTTCCTACCCAGAGCAAACACAAACGGGATCTCCTGTTCTCTGGCCATGGCTATGACGTTGTACAGAGCCTCGTCTAGACCCCCTGGAACATAAAATAACACACAGTCACTACTACTGTAGAAATATCACTATATAAACAGTCCTGCTCCCTGGTCATGGCTATCTATCATGTTTTACAGAGCCTCACCCCTGCCATAGACAATACAGTCACTAGTTTTATGTATAAGATTTGATGCAGCCTGTGCTGAGCATATCAATATGCTACCGCCCTCTGGTGGACACTGTAAAATGGCAAATGTGGTTGAATATTTTAAATATTCATTAATTTAGCATGCATTTGGAACCCCACACTCACCCAAGATCAGGGTCAGGTTCAGTTAGGCACACTGTAGCAAAATGCTTTGCAACTGCAAAAAAAACCTTGTGTTCTTATTGGACCAGGTAGAGTAGTACACTCCGTGGTTCAATCCTTTTCAAAAAACATAAGGATTAATGACAAGAATGACCCCTGACCTTTGGCCTGGATCTTCTCACAGTTGGGGGAGATGAGGACACACTTGATCTTGTGGAGCTTCATGTGTTTGGTGACCTCTCTAAGGCCCATGACCAGTCTGCGTTTGGTCTTGGCTTTGCTGGGGTCCTTCTGATAAACCCTCTCCTGGAACCGGACCAGCTCTTGCAGCAGCATCGTCACACTCTCATCGATCTCCTTATTCAACACCTGGTTACAGTACCTGGAGACAGAGAAAGACACTAATATGATAACACATTCATCAATCTCCTTATTTAATACCTGGTTACATTACCTGGAGACAGAGAAACAGAGAGAGAGGGACTACGGTTGGGCAACATTTGGGGAGACCTCTTCGACGATATGCTACTCCAAATATTGCGCTATCCGATATAATCGTTTTGCGCCGTTAATGACTACATCATTCCAGACTGTGCAATTTTTGTATCTTATTTACGATATTATTGTCGCATTCTCATTAAATAATTGTAGTATGGTGAAAAAATAAGGCTCAGTTCATTAATTTAGACGTAAAAATTCAGTTTTGATTTGTACATTTCAAATAGAGTAGTCTTGCACATCACGTAATATCATCAATGTCAAATATCACGATATTTGATTTAATCATATATTGGCCCAATCCTAAGAGGGACACACACAAACATGTTAACACACACACACACACACACACACACACAAACAGGTTAACACACACAAAAAAAACAATATTAGAAAACACTCACATGCATACACAGACCAATATTATAAAACACACACACCATTGTGTAAATCAGTAGTTCCCAACTCCAGTCCTCCCAACAGTACACAGTTGTGTTGTAGCCCCTGATAAACACACCTGATTCAACTTGTCAACTAATCATCAATCCCCCAATGAGTTGAATCAGGGGAGTTTGTCTGGGGCAACAACAACAACGTGTGCTGTTGGGGGGATTGGAGGACAGGAGTCTGGGAACCACTGGTGTAGATATGGTATGATATGGTGTGAGGAAGAGAGGAGAGGCATAGCTTAGTGGGGCGGCAGGTAGCTTAGTGGTTAAGAGCGTTGTGCCAGTAACCGAAAGGTCGCTGGTTCTAATCCCCGAGCCGACTAGGTGAAAAATATGTCGATGTGCCCTTGAGCAAGGCACTTAACCCTAATTGCTCCTGTAAGTGGCTCTGGATAAGAGCGTCTGCTAAATAACTAAAATGTAAATATAATAGAGAGGTCGTAGGTTGTCTGACACAGTGCTGAAGAGCTGGGCGGAGACAAAGGGCCTACATCTGAAGACATTAAGAAACAAAGCAGTGTGTGTGTACATGCAAGTCCTTATTGTATAGCCCTGCTCTAAACACCCATTGGGCGGATAGATATTTATGTTACTAAATGCTTTTGTGTTGCTAACCCACCAAATGAGTTTATGACATTTCAACCGCTAGGATTCTCAGTACAGAACAATTTGTGTGTCTGTGAGAGAGAGACTCACTCTCTGAAGCGGCGGCTGTGTATCTTGGTGATGGCGTTAGAGGCCATGGGGCTGCCAATGCCGGAGGAGGCAGGGGAACCCTGGGAAACAGGTGTGATGCTGTACGGAGAGTTCTGACTAGCCGGGGACAGGGACGCGTCATCACTGGGCACGCTCAGACCGTTCTCTACAGGAAACAGACAGGGAGCCAAATATCACAGGGAGGTACATTAGACAACACCATGTCACACAAGCAGATCAGTAGGAGTATTAGTTTTAAAAGCATTAACTTTAAGACCAATGGAATGGTCTAAAATGAGCAAACTCCGCCAAGGTCCTGTTTGAGGTCATCAGTGAAGTGTAGCTCCTCCTCTCTCTGACCCTTAACCCCTGACCCCTAACCCTGTACCTACCCTCCTGAGAGGCAGGTTCCCGTGTGAGGTCGTCAGTGAAGTGCAGCTCCTCCTCTCCCTGTTCATCCTGGCCGGCAGCAGTCTGGTCCACACACACCTTCCCCCTCTTCCCCTCACGCTCCTTCAGAATGATCTACACAGAGAGAACAGAGACTGGGTTAGACCCACACACACAGAGAGACAGACAAGAGAGAGGCAGAGAGAGCGAGAGCTAGAGAGAGGAAGACAGACACACATTGAGAGAGCTCTATCCTCTCACCTTCTTCAGGGCGGTGGGTCGTTTGACTTTAGGGATCTCTCTCTCCTTCCCCCTCTTCAGGCGCGGAGCGCTAGAGTCCAGCATGTTGTGGGGGGCAGAGTGGGGCTGCTGGGCCTTCAACACTGACGCTACACCGGACCCTGCTCCTGGCCCGGCACCTGAACCATGGAACGGAGCTGCTGTACCCACTGGAAAGCAAGAGAGAGGGCAGTCAGAGAGAGAGAGAGGGCAGTCAGAGAGAGAGAGAGGGCAGTCAGAGAGAGAGAGAGAGGGCAGTCAGAGAGAGAGAGAGAGGGCAGTCAGAGAGAGGAAGTGGGGCAGTGGGGCGGTGCAGTGGGTGGGGTGCATGTGTTGGGGGTGCAGGTGCGTTAGTGAGGGATGTGGTGCGTGAGTGTGTGTGAGTGGTCGGTGCAGTGTGTGTGGGGGTGCGTGCAGTGTGTGTGTGTGCGGTGCAGGTGTGTGTGTGGTTGCAGTGTGTTGTGGCGGTGTGCGTGTAGTTGTGGTGTGGTGCGGTGCAGTGTGTGTGGTGGGTGCGGTGCAGTGTGTGTGGTGTGGTGCGGTGCAGTGTGTGTGTGTGTGGTGCGGTGCAGTGTGTGTGGTGTGGTGCGGTGCAGTGTGTGTGTGGGGTGCGGTGCAGTGTGGTGTGTGTGTGTGTGGTGCGGTGCAGTGTGTGTGTGGGTGTGGTGCGGTGCAGTGTGTGTGGTGCGGTGCGGTGCAGTGTGGTGTGGTGCAGTGTGTATGTGTGGTGTGGTGCAGTGTGTATGTGTGGTGCGGTGCAGTGCAGTGTGTGTGTGTGTGTGGTGCAGTGTGTGTGTGTGTTTGTGGTGCAGTGTGTGTGTGTGTGTGTGGTGCAGTGTGTGTGTGGTGCAGTGTGTACCTGTGAAGGACAGTGGTTTGGTGTTGTTTATTTGTCTAGCCTTCATGGCCTGTTGTTGTTTCTCCAGTGCAGCCAGCATGTCTCCCAGGTCCAACTGGACTGGAGTCTTACTCTTCTTTCCTGCTGCTTTGGTCAGCGCCTCCTACAGGCACACACAGGGAACAGCAACACTGGCTCAGCACACTCATAGTAGTACAATAGAACTATGTATAGTTTTTCCATTGAGATGCCTATAGTCCTGCACTATGTCTAGCTGACAGAGCATGTTGGTATCTGTAGTTTTCTGTGATTAGCTAACCGAGCACATGCTGTCACCTGTAATTTCCTAGCTAACAGTGCATGTTGGTACCTGTAGTTTCCTAGCTATCTTACAGAGTGCATGCTGGTATCTGTAGTTTCCTAGCTAGCTAAGATATTGCATGTTGGTACCTGTAGTTTCCTAGCTAGCTAACAGAGTGCATGCTGGTACCTGTAGTTTCCTCTGCTCCATGCTGATCTCAGAGTACTCCTGTGCTGTAGCCAGGGCAGCAGCCAGGGCCTTCTTCCTCTGACTCTTTGCCCTCTTGGGGACGGAGGTGGTGATTGGGATGGGAGTCTGGACGATGTTGATGGGAGAGTTCTCTGGAAGGTTATCCAGCTGGAGAGAGAGAGAGGAGCGGGGGAACAACAGTCACTACTGGGATAGATGTTTTGTGATCAAACTTTTTCTTGCAAAAAAAAAATCTGTGAAATCCTCAAGGAAGGAAGGGAGGAGAGTTTAGCTGGTCTCTCACCAGGTTCTTGGTTAGTTTGGTCTGGTGTTGGTTCTGGGTCTGGGAAGGGTTGTGGTCTGGTTTGTTGTTCCTCTGTGCTCCTCCTCCTGAGACCAGCTCTGGAAACTCCTCCTCATCCTGAAACAGATGAGACAGACTTTAGACTTTACCAAACACCTGACTAGTACAGCTCTACCATACCATTACATTCTGATTGAGGACTATTTCATACAATACCTCAGCTTTTGTACATCTAAAGCCTCACTAACTCCTAATACACATTGACCAAGTTGGAAATAAACAGATACATGGAACTGAAATCTCCTATTAATGGGAGATACAGGATTTACATGACAGTTCAAGTTACAGTTGTATCTCAAGTAAGGATTTGATTCCAACTGAAATGCATATTGTGAAATGCAGAAAGGTTGAGTGACCGATGATTTCTGTATTTATCCACATCAGGAGACAGAATGAGATGCTGCAGTGTGTGAGTGAGGTGAGTTTCATGTCAATATCTCCCACCTCGAAGTAGAGGGGCTCAGGAGCAAGCGCCGTCCCAGGGCCTACTCCGGGCTGGAGCCGTCTCTGCTGCAGACCACAGTTGGTGTCTGCGGGGGTGGGGTTAGGACAGACACGCCCCCCTGAGTACCCTGCATGGAAGTCCTGCTGGAGAGGGGGCGAGAAAGAGAGAGAGAGAGAGTAAGTGGGGATGAGCGGGAGAGGGTCAGAGAGATAATTACAGTTGCCCAGGTGAGGTCAAGATCATCTCAGGTGAGGCCCAATGTACCTGTAAGTAGTTCCTCTGATCAGTGGTCTTCCCTGTCCGTTGGAACGGGGTGGTCCTGTTGTCTGACCACGACCTCTGAGTGGCCTGAGACGCTACGTTCACCCAGCTTACCGCTACACACACACACACAGAGACACACAGACAGAGATAGACACACAAAGTTAAGAGGAGGACACAGCCAAGGGGAAAGCCAATGTAATCATCTGTCTTATCAGAAATCCAATTATTAATCATAAAAACAAAGCCTACCTGTCATTACACCTGCATCCACTCCCTGTAGAGATAGAGAGAGAGAGAGAGAGAGAGAGGAGAAGCATGTTAGATATTTCACTTCAGTCATGCAGGTGAAGGTTAGGTTATAGCTAGGTCTGGGGTTACCTTGTGTTTGAGGCTACAGTACAGTAGTATAGAGTTAGGGTTAGAGTTAGGACCTGCCATCGTAGGAGCTGTGGTAGAGTGTTCTGTAGCCCCGGGGCTACAGTAGTGTTTGGGTTCACAGTAGTTTATAGTACTATAAAGTAGTAAATGGTTAGGGTTAAAGGTGGGGCTTACCGTAGGAGCTGTAGCAGCGTCGGCAGTGCGTTGCGTAGCCCCCGGGGCCTGCTGGTTGTGTTTGGGGCTGCAGTAGCCGCTGTCGCTGTCGATGTCCGCCTCGCTGGAGCTCTCGGCAGGGTGCGAGGCCAGCCTTCTCCGGGGAAGGTTCTTCCACAGCAGGGGGCTGGCCCGCTCCCGTTCCCGCTCCGACGCACCCCGACCACACACACTGTCCCCTGGGAAGTCTACAGGCAGACAGATATCACGGATCAGTCTATCCATACAATAAGCCTAGTCCTGGACTAAAGAGCTATTTAAATGGAGTCTAGGACCAGACATAATCTTGCTTTTTAGTCTAGGACCAGACATAATCATGTTCCAGGAAACCAGCCCCAAATGTATTTATTAAAGGCCTTTTTTACATCAACGGTTGTCACAAAGTGCTCTACAGTAACCCGGCCTAGACCCCAAAGAGCAAGCAGAAGCAGTAGCAAGTAGAGAAGTAGTATTTAGATGCTTATTGCACCTTTACTGGTTAACAACCAATGTGATGTCCATCTCATTATGGATCTAACTCTTAGTCGCATTGAGTTGTGTTATTCCCCCAGCCGGAGGTGTCACAGAGGACAACACGTACTGCACACGTGCAGAGTAGACCTCTCCAACAGGAAACTCTACATTCCTACTGTCTTCCCAGCAGGATGGGCATCATAGGCTGCGTTTACACAGTCAGCCCAGTTCTGATATTTATCCCACTAATTGTCTTTTGACCAATCACATCAGATTTTTTCACATCAGATCTTTTCCAGAGCTGATCTGATTGGTCAAAAGACCATTTAGTGAAAAAACTATCAGACTGGGCTGCCTGTGTAAACGCAGTCATAGTGTCTCAGTATGATGCGTCATCATTCTAAACCTGTTCTCTCAGCTCAGTAGGATCTAGATGCTGTGATTGACTGAGGTTTTATTATGTAAAGCCTTAACGCTGTAATGAAGGCTTAGACCACAGTCAGGTACATACAGTCAGTACACAACCCTGTACAGGAGTTAGAGAAGAGTTAGGCACGTCAATCATCTGTGGACATACATTAGACCAGTATACAGGGGTTTGGCAATGCAAACCTGAGTCAAAACCTGGGCTTAACTAGTACTAGAATGTATTAGAATGTACTAGTATTGGTGCTGGTACTGGTATTGGTACTAGAATATTACTGGTACTGGTACTACCATGTTACTGGTATTGGTACTAGTATGTTCCTGGTCTATATACGTACCAGTCTGCTGGGCAGCGTCCACCAGTAGGACTGTCTTGGTCCGTCCGACTGGCCCTGAGGAACACATCTCCTTCTGGACAGCTACAGTCCTCATGGGGGGCCTCCTGTCCTTAAGGGGCTGACACAACCCCACCTGCTGCTGCTGATTGAACATAGACTATAATAACATTCAACATTATTTTGTATATTGATGTTATACGACTCTCTGGCCAATTAATGGTATTAATTAATTAATTCATTGACGGTATTAACTGATAATGTAATCAATAGTGTCAAATTGAAGAATGGAGCTGAGCACCTTGCTTTAGGATAGACCAGCAGAATAACCCGTTTGACCTCTAACCTCTTACCTTGGGTAGAACGGCAGGTCTGACCATGCCCCTCCCTCCTCTCTGATTTGCTAGTCCAAACGCCTGTCGGGGAGGGGACGGTCTCTCGCTGACGTCAGCTGATACAGGGTTTACCACGCCAGGCTGCAGGGGTCCGGCGTACGTTCCTGGGAAGGGCTGGTAGAGGAACAGAACAACTTTATTATCCAGCTGTGACAATGAACATTTATCCTCCACTTCTTCTCTCCTCCTAACCATCTCTTCAGGCTACAAGTCTTGTAAACATCTTCTCCCAAAAACCAAAGACAACACACACTCCACTACCTGCCTTTCTAAAGGCCACATTGACAGAGAATAGTACCTGGGATCTGACACCAGCAGCCCTCCAGGTTGCTAATTCAGTTTCCAGTTCTATCTCCTCGCGCCCAGGATTTGAACTAGCAACCTTCTGACTACTGGTCTGCCTCTAACCCCTAACCTTTCAGATACCTACCTGGTAAAAGCCCATCATGGGGGGACAGGGGGCAGGCATGATCTGGTAGTAGGTGTAGTCGTTGGAGACTGGCGGCTGGGGGGAGGACAGGATGGGGTAAGCCAGGTACGGACCACCTGGGGTGGGGTTGGGCTGCTGCCAGCGCAGGTCCCCTCCTCCGCTATACATGGGGTGCTGTTGTCTGTAGAGGGGTGGGAGAGAAGAAATGATTGGTGTAGTGATGATTGTATGAATATACTGCAACATATTAAGACTAATATACCCATAGGAGGCCAGAGAAAACTGTGTCAAGCTAAGAGACAGCTTGATACAATGCTGATATCAGTGTCGAGCTGACTGTGTGTGTGTGGCACTCTGGCTGATACGGATCCAGACCACATTTTCACAGCCAGCGGTCTAGAGCGCAGACCACTTCCTGGTATTCAAAACAGACAGGAAGGAAATGAAGAAATGAACGTGTGCAGGATGAGGCAGATCACCCCTGACAAAGAGAACCGCACAGAACACACACAGGTCTTCAGCTCTCAGTCACATCCAGGGCATAACATTAACACCCCCATCTGGGGTTAGATGAAGGTAATGTCTATTTCACCAGCCACATTGGCGGGTGGTCAATGTGCAGGGCTCTACAGTGCGAGCATTACATTCGTGAATAAAAAGTCAAAAGTCAAGTATGAGCACGTGTGAGTTAGGGTTTCATAGCTGCTAATTGCACAAAGAAATAGGAATCATATATCCCATCTCACGCAGCAACACTGCCTGGCAGAGGAGCTGAGCTCACTGAGTGAAGTGCTGATAGATTCATTTGGAGGCGCTGCACACAGGTATAAAAGTTGGTCTAATTTATGCGAACATCTACAAAGTGAGACTTTGACCTCGTGTTTCTTGGCCGTTTACATTGTTTTGCTCACAAGCTTGTTTGTGTTTCAACGTTACGTTAGTTTGAGTCTGTTGCTTCAACTGATAGTAAAGAGTCAGAACCCAAATCTCACTCACACACCAAGGTAACCTCCCGCCCTTAAAGGGCCAGCTGAACAATTTGTCTCTGATATTTTGGTTAAAAGACTCCAGTCCTAAAAAATGAATTGAAAATGAGCAATATACCACATTATTTCTTACTAATACATTTCTTGTTTTAGAAACATTACAAAGCATGGTCGTCTGTTTTTGGTGTGTTTTTATATGTATGTACGGCGAAACAATATTTTGGCTGGTAAAACATCTGAGTGGCTGGTATATTTTTAGGCCCTGATCACATCCCTGGGTGGTAACTGACCATTCACAGCCTAGTTGTGTATAACACACACTGTTTATGGGGTTTTCCATAGGTGAATCAGAAAGAAGACACCATCAGTTTTCCTACTGACATGGGCACAGGCACGTTCCTGGAGGAGTGTCAGAAATGGGAATATTCCTGGATTCCATAGAGATCCTTTCAGAGCTAATGCTAGGCTAACTGTCAGTGGCTCAGGGACAGAGGCAGGGTAGCTCCTAATACAGATTCATTACATCAGTGACAGTCGCACCTCAGGCTCTTAGGGCCAGTTTACCGGACACAGATTAAGCCTAGTCTTGGATTAAAAGGCATGCGCTCAGAGATTCTCCATTGAATATGGTTTTTAGTCCAGGACTAGGCTTAATCTGTGTCCAGGAAACCTGCCCTTAGTGTGTAGGGTGTAGGCTGCATGATTTAGGGACTAGGGTGCATAATATATGATATAGGGTGCTGTACCTACCTGTTGGGTTGGTTCTCCTGGACAAAAGGGTAGCAGGTGATGAGGTAGCTGGGGATAGGGGTGGGCTCCTCCACCCCCCCTCCTCCTCCTCCTCCCCCTCCTTCTCCTCCAGACAGGCTCATGGTGACCAGGGCTCCTTCCAGACCTTTCTTTTGTGGGATAAACGGCTCCACTTCGGCTGACAGTTTCACATCCTGCAAGGAGACACAGAGGCAGTCAGATGCTGACATCACAGACAGGACCTGACTGGACAGGAGAGGACAGGACCTGCCGGGACAGGAACTGACTGGACAGGAGAGGACATGACTCGACAGGAACTGGCTGGACAGGAGAAGACAGGACCTGCCTGGACAGGAACTGACTGGACAGGAGAGGACATGACTTGACAGGAACTGGCTGGACAGGAGAAGACAGGACCTGACTGGACAGGACCTGACAGGACAGGAACTGGCTGGACAGGAGAAGACAGGACCTGACTGGACAGGATCACCTCGCAACGCACCAGACACACTCAGGAGTGATCGGCCTCTCACTTTTGTGCCAAAATAACAGCAGTTAAAGTGTACCCATATTAGGATATGTTCATGACTCAGTGAACGTGGTTCAATTTGTGTGCTGTATAAACGATCCACCACAATCAGTGATAAATCGACATATATCAGCTGGTACCGACATCACACTCACTGTGTGAAGGTTTCCTGTAACTTATGAGGTGTTTTAGTAACCCAAGGGGTAACATCAAGGATCCATCTACAATCCATAGACAACTAAGTCTAAGATCAATCACACAGGACTGGAGAGTAGGCTGTCAGTCAGTAGATATCTGATTTAGAGACTGACGCCCCTAGGCTATATGACTGGACTACAAAGTGTGAGTAGGAATGTTACCTAAGGAGCAGCTAGTTGGGGAAGCCAGGCTAGACTAATTATTAATATAACCCATGACTGTCGTCACATCACCACGACACAGGCAAAACAACAGAACTAGTTCCTTCAGGACAAATGAAACAACTGGCACCAAGAGAAAAAACTTTTCACTGGGTCTGAGAATGGAGAGTTGGAGTCAATGGCTGTCTCTGAAATGACACCTTAATACAATAGTGTACTACTTTTGACCAGGGCACATGGGGCCCTGCGATAGACTAGCATCCTGCCCAGGAGTAGTCTACAGTACATCAAGATGCCTAAAGAACCAGACGATAGGCTCCTGACCTATGGACTGTTTTGGCTTGGACAAGGCTACTTCCTTATTTAAGGAATAGGGTGCCAATTTGGTCGCAGACATAGAAAGCCTAACAAAGTGTTGACCTTTGAGCAGTGTGATCAGGGGACGTGTGAGTGTAGCAGACAGACACAGCAACATGTAACCTGGTGCAATAGAACCACTTCCTGGTTGGCCTGATACTGATCTGATCAGAGTGGAGAGCACTGTCTCCTTGTACTCACAGAGAACATGACCGACTGAGGGCCTTAGAACACACACAGTCCAATACCTTTGGTGTTTTTTCCTATTAAGTTATGCCACAATACAGCATTTTTAAGGAGTGCCTTGGAACTGTTATGCTTTGTTGGTTAAAAAAATGATAATAGACCCTTTCATCCAAAGAGCCCCTCTCCCTACCAGCTACCACTAACAGTAAACACTAGGTAGCACTCCTACCATCAGCCATTCTGTCCTGAGACATTCCTTTCCTACGGCCCTGCCTGGTCCAAATCTGGCCCTGAAGTTTCCACTTAGATGCTGATCTTGAGTCAGTTTTGCATTTCCCCCACTATTGGTTTAGGTTAGGATTGGGGGAGGGGAAGCCAGACCCTCTCCTCAACCCCAATCCACTATTCCCTCCCCTCCCCTCTCCTCAACCCCACCCCACTATTCCCTCCCCTCTCCTCAACCAAAACCCCCACTGTCCCTCCCGCTCATCAACAACCACTGGGTTCCCTCCCTTCTCACTCAACCCAACTTGCACTCCCACTACCGAAACCCACTGTCCAACCACCCTTACCCCACGGTTCCCTCCCTCTGCTTCAACCCCACTGTTCCTCCCTCTACCTCAAACCCCAATGTTCCCCATCCCTCTACCACACTGTTCCCTCACCCATACTCCATCTCAGCAACCCCATCTGTTCCCGACCCTCTCCTCAACCACACCCCAACGGTTCCTCCCTCAACCCAACTGTCCCTCCCTCCGTCCTAACCCACACCCACGGTCCCACTCCAACCATCCTACAACCCCACTGTTCCCTACCTAAACCCCACTGTTCCCTCCCCATCTCCTCAAACCCACCCCACTGTTCCCTCCCCTCCACATCTCCTAACCACCACCCCAACCCCACCCACCCATGTTCCCTCCCCATACTCCTCAACCCACCCCCACTGTTCCTCCCCTCAACCCCACTGTTCCTCCCCTCTCTAAACCCCACTGTTCCCTCCCTCTCAAACCCAACCCCACTGTTCCCTCCCTCAACCCCACTGTTCCTCCCCTCTCCTCAAAACCCCACCCCACTGTTCCCCGCCCCTCAACCCCACTGTTCCTTCCCCTCTCCTCAACCCCACCCCACTGTTCCTTCCCCTCTCCTCAACCCCACCCCACTGTTCCTCCCCTCTCCTCAACCCCACCCCACTGTTCCCTTCCCTCTTCTCAACCCCACCCCACTGTCTCCTTCCCCTACCCTCTCTCTCAACCCCACCCCACTGTTCCCTCCCCTCAACCCCACTGTTCCCTCCCCTCTCCTCAACCCCCACCCCCCTGTTCCCGCCCCTCTCCTCAACCCCACCCACTGTTCCCTCCCTCAACCCCACTGTTCCCCCCCCTCTCCTCAACCCCACCCCACTGTTCCCTCCCTCACCTCAACCCCACTGTTCCTCCCTCTTCCTCACCCCCAACCCCACCCCACTGTTCCTTCCCCTCTCCTCAACCCACCCCACCCCACTGTTCCCTTTCCCTCTCCTCAACCCCACCCCACTTGTTTCTTCCCCTCCCCTCTCCTCAACCCCACCCCACTGTTCCTCCCTCAACCCCACTGTTCCCTCCCCTCCTCAACCCCACCCCACTGTTTCCCGCCCCTCTCCTCAACCCCACCCCACGGTTCCCTCCCCTCAACCCCACTGTCCCTCCCCTCCCCACTCAAAAAAACCCACACCCCACTGTCCCTCCCCCCCAACCCCATGGTCTGCACCCCGCCTCAACCCCACCCCACTGTTCCTCCCCTCTCCTCAACCCACCCCACTGTCTCCTCCCCTCTCCTCAAACCCCACTGTTCTCCCTCCCCGTTCCTCAACCCCACCCCACTGTGCCCTCCCTCCCTCCTCAACCCCACCCCACTGTTCCCCCCCTCAACCCCACTGTTCCCTCCCCCTCCTCAACCCCACCCCACTGTCCCGCCCTCTCCTCAACCCCACCCACGGGTCCCGCCCCAACCCCACGTCCCGCCGCATACCCAACCCAACGCCCCCCCCCGCACCCACCCCCCCCCCTTGCCCAACCCACACCCCCCACGGCCTCCCTCCGCAACCCCACCCCATCCCGACCCCACTCCCACCCGCAACCCCACCCCACGTCCGCCCGCATCAACCACCCACGAGCACCCTCCCTCAACCCACCCACGATTGCCCTCCCTCGCCGCAACCACCCACTATTCCCCCTCACGCAAACCCACCACACAGGTCCCGACCTCGCCGCAAAACCCACCCCACTAGTCCTACCACCCGTCAACCCCACCCCACGATTCCCGCCTCCGCAACCCCACCCACATCCCTCCCCTCGTCCTCAACCCACCCCACGATTCCCGCCCCTCCCCAACCCCACGCCACGAGCCGCCCCGTCCGCAACCCCACCCCACAGGTCCCCCCTCGGCCTCAACCCCACCCCACTAGTTCCCTCCCCTCCTCACCCCATCAACCCACCCACCCCCTCCCCCCCCCCACCACCCTCCTCCCTCCCTCAACCCCACCCCACTGTCCCCTCCCCTCCAACTCCACCATCCCCCACCCACCCCACTGTTCCCTCCCCCTCACCCCAACACTTTCCCTCCTCCTCACCCCACCCCTTTCCTCCCCTCAACCCCACTGTTCACCCCTCCCCCTCTCCCTCCTCCTCATGTTCCCCTCCCCACCCCCACTGTTCCCTCTCCTCCCCCCCTGCTCTGTTGCCTGGACCAAATCAAATGTTGGTATCAATTGAATGAATGTTGGTGTTTGTACTCCTGAATGCTGCTTCAGGGGACGTTAAACACTGATATGGAAACTCTGATATGGGCCTGACTACTAAGTTATGACCATTGGACTGTTTATCTAGGTTTACCTCTTATCAAAACTGACCATTGACATCATGTTGACTGAATCACAGGCCTTACATGCTGACCACACCGCTCGCGTTGCAAAATAAATGTACACATACATGTTATTCAACCATTTCATCCAAACTGCTCGTGAGCGTCTGCGTAGCCAGGCGCTAAAATAGAACTTGGTTCTTTTTGTGAAGCTTGACGTGCTGCAAGTCCCGCCTCTCCCATCTCCTCATTGGTTTTTAGGAGCATATACCCACATGGGTGATTGAAAGATGAACTGAGGTCCACACTCCAGTCCAGTTGGTGGTGGTAATGCACCTTAAAGTTGGTTGCCAACCGCCATATAAAGTTCAAAGAAGAAGAAGACTGAAGGAGGAGAGATTACTAGAAACTAACTAGGTTTATCTGTGGATTAATGGTCAGAGTAGAGGACCTTGTGCATTTCAGGTAAAATAACAACCCAATGTTAATATCCCAGGACAAATTAGCTAGCAACAGCAAGCTAGTTAGCTAAATGGCCATGCGTTTCGACCTGTCCCCAAATTAATATAGGTTCAGAGTTTGATATTTCAACCTGCGTGTCCTGATCGTGTCTTGTGTGGATGGACAAAATCACACGCGTGCCCGGTCTAGTCAGCATGTTACTGCCCAGCTAACACATCGTGACTTGCTGATGAGTCCCAAATGGCACCCTATTCCCTACATAGTGCACTACTTTTGACCAGAGCCCAATAGTGTCCAGACCTATCACTGAGGCAGGCAGCTACAGTCAGAGGATAGATCAACCTCATCCCCCCTTTCATTCTGAGAGGAGGAGAGGAAGGGAGGAGGAGAGGAAGAGTAGAGAGAAAGGGAGAGTTGACAGAGTTCACGACACAAAGACACTCCATTCTCCCAGCCAGGGTCGGAATGTATGAATCCAGCATCAGTACAGCAGTGAACACACACACACACAGCCATTGTTACCCAGTGCTACTGTACTGTCTGTGGGCAGTGTGGGCTGATGTCTGATAGATCCAGGGGTCCTGACTGGTCTACACAGAGCACTAGGGGTGACGTAGCCAGCTGAAAACAATACCCTGCAGTATACTAGACGGCAGCCTACTGTGGCCTAAACTTTGGTGCCATATACTGTCATGGAATTAAGCCTAATGAAAAATCGGACATTTTAAATGAACCATGCTTTGTTTCCGTATGAAGTTTGATGGTTAGGCCTGCTCTAAAGAGGGCTGGTTACTGTGGATGATCAGGGGAGGTTAGTTACACAAAACAGAGGGGTTGGTTGTGTTACTTTAGATGACAAGGGATGCTGATAGTGGAGAGATGGGTCAATTTAAACTTTAGGGGGTAGTTATTCTAAAGGGGGGGTTGGTTACTTGGTACGAGGGATGTTACAGGAGGTAGGCCTGGCTAGCTATAGGTGATGTTACAGGAGGTGGTCCTGGCTAGCTATAGGTGATGTTACAGGAGGTAGGCCTGGCTAGCTATAGGTGATGTTACAGGAGGTAGGCCTGGCTAGCTATAGGTCATGTTACAGGAGGTAGGCCTGGCTAGCTATAGGTCATGTTACAGGAGGTAGGCCTGGCTAGCTATAGGTCATGTTACAGGAGGTAGGCCTGGCTAGCTATAGGTCATGTTACAGGAGGTAGGCCTGGCTAGCTATAGGTCATGTTACAGGAGGTGGTCCTAGCTAGCTATAGGTGATGTTACAGGAGGTGGTCCTGGCTAGCTATAGGTCATGTTACAGGAGGTGGTCCTAGCTAGCTATAGGTGATGTTACAGGAGGTAGGCCTGGCTAGCTATAGGTCATGTTACAGGAGGTGGTCCTAGCTAGCTATAGGTGATGTTACAGGAGGTAGGCCTGGCTAGCTATAGGTGATGTTACAGGAGGTGGGCCTAGCTATAGGTGACAGGGGACGCAGTTACAGGATTAGGCCTGAGAGGATCAGGTGAGGAGTGAGGACGGTGGCCCAACCAGGATAAGCCAATTACACAATTAGCTACAACAGAGTCAATCATGACTCATAGTATGGCTATAGGGCTCCAGCCCTAGTCCACCAGGGGAAAGAGACTCCAAACCTCCCAATATGTGTGCCCTGGCTGGGGGAGACTCGGACAGGGAGTCCCTGACTGTCCAGGTCTGGGTTCTTTAGCTCTGGGCGCCATTCTCCATTCCACTGGTGTGAAGGTGTGGGCTGTTTGTTCAGACTGAGTTGTATGTGATTGATTGATTAGCGCCTGGGTTGTGAGTGAGAATGGCAGCGATTGTGGCAAAGGCTGCAGGGGGGTGTATGCGTGTTGGAGAGAGAAAGAGAGAGAACAGCAGCAATTATGGAAGAGGCATTGGCAGGTAGCCTAGCGGTTAGAGGGTTAGGCCAGTAACCGAAAGTTTACTGGTTCGAATCCCGAGCCGACTAGGTGAAAAATCTATCGATGTGCCCTAGAGCAAGGCACTTAACCTTAATTGCTCCTGTAAATCGCTCTGGATAAGTTCGTCTGCTAAATAACTAAAATGTCAAATGTCATGTAAATGCATTGAGCTCAGCTCCAGATGTGTGGTGAAACAGGCAGGGCAGCACTGGGCTGGTGGGACTACTGGGCCATCAACCATCACACCATCAAACCCTTTGTCCTTTCAAGCATTTGTCTCTGATTCATTGTCTTCTAACATTCTCAGCTGGAAAGAGAGAAGTTGTATTGTTCTTTTACTGTTGTTGAATGGGAGGGGGCAAGAGAGGGCGCAGTAGACAGTGGTGGAAGGGGGAGAGATTGTGGCTGAGCGAGAGCGAGAGAGTGTGCATGTACACTACATTTATGGGTGGTCCTATGTAGCTCAATTAGTAGAGCATGGCGCTTGTAACGCCAGGGTAGTGGGTTCGATCCCCGGGACCACCCATACGTAAAAATGTATGCACACATGACTAAGTCGCTTTGGATAAAAGCGTCTGCTAAATGGCATATTATTATTATATTATTATTTACAAAAATATATTAAAGTCACAAGCATGAAATCATCTTGGGTCCTTGAATCGCCCATGCACCATCATCACATCATGTGGACCAAAACTCAGCCTATGTGGCATCTGCTTTTATGAATCAATACATTGCAATGCAATGCTACATCAGTACAGCAAACAACGCTCAGAATGAACACCCTGAGATGGTCTGATAGTGACACAGGAGCAGAGGGCTTCATCCGGGGACTTACAGTAAGTCAGACCACATAATAGAGTAGCTAACTTGAATCATAGTTAAGTTACTCTATGCGCAGCAGGAGTCACTCACTGGAATGTGATTAAAATGCAGAAGAACCGGATATTCCTCCAGAGCAGGCCAGCTGGCTAGGTAGTTGTCAACAATATACCACACACTGGGAAGTTTCGGGTAACTGTTCACTACCTAGCTAGTTAACTTACCCTGGTCCGTGTTATACTATTTAGCTAACTATCTAGCTAATTATTTAACAGTGGGTCAAACATCAAAGCTCCCCCAGAGAGCTAACTAAGTCGGTATTGTCAACCGATGTTGACATGAACGGCAATTGTAATGTCAAAACATTGTGACAGTATAGGTATTGTAACTACTTTATTTAGATAGCTTGTTTGACGAGATACTCAATATAGTTAGCTTCAATTAAAACATATCTAGTTCATAGATCAGCAAATCTGGGAGAACAGATTAGATGTGAGATTGTCCATCCAAAAATGACAAGCGCATAGAACCTGCTTAGCTAACTGGCTAGTTAACCAGTTAGCTAGTTCACTTGTCTTTACTTGCACGCTTGCCTAGCTAGCGTAGCGATCTAGTTAGATGACAAATCAAATCATTGACAATAATCAAACATCGGGTAAACATTTCTAAAACATGAAAGGGAAATGATTTCCTGCAGATACGTTTTGGGCCTAGCTAGCTTGCTTCATATTCCCATTAGCTAACTAATGCTAGTTGTACCATGTAACCAGACATAATCGGGTCCGTCATTACTTCGCAGAGAAAATCCGTTTACCTTGTCACAAGAGTCCATGTCAATCGCTGAGACCGCGGCAGACCGTCATTGAGCATGCAGTGGTCGTCAAGATATAGGTGATTTAATGTTCTTCATTGTAAATGTTGAGCCATTTGTGTGAAACACACCCTGTTCCTACCTCTGCCTAGTTGAACTATTGCTGCCTAGCTAGCTTTGCTAGCTCTGAATGTGTCAACGTAGAAATGGAACAGCAGAAGAGACGGAACGCCCACAGGCTCAAAAAGTCTTCATCTTTGCCTTCGGCGTCTGTCACTGATAAGATTTGATGGACAATGATAAATAGGCCTACTGTGCAAGAAGTAGATATTTTTAGAGCAGAGCAGCTATGTCTAGCCTACAACACCGAATCAACTTAATTATAATTCAAACAGATTTCTACTTCTCTACTGTTCTGCTTGCAATGTGATGGATGACATACATTTTCAGTGATGGCAGTGAATCTATCCATTGAAAATACGTTTCTGCACACAAACAATTGACTAACATTTCAGAAGAACTGGAGTCTGTTGCATCTACCAAATAATACAGATATTTACAAATAATACAGATAGCATGAGCGCTATAAACTAGACGATATCTAGAAGACCTACATTGAAATGTCATATACAGTAAACACAGATGGAGAACATTGTTTTTTATTCACAACATGCGTTCAATGCTGCAGCTACATGTTGTGAAAAAGTTTGCCCAACACCAGGTGCCAGTCAACATGCACAAATAAACCATTGTGTTATTGTACTCAAACTGCCTGTCCCAAAAGATAAAGCACTTTTAAAAAGGTGTGGTGACAGTGATATTTCTTAGAACCATTCTATTAAAGTCTTTTGAAAAACAAACACGAGGGGCTTGAAGTAAACTGAGATGTCCCTTAGAGAGTACTGATGTCTTCTAGAAAGCAGTATCTCTTCTCTCTCTCTGGAAAATGCAGTGGCAGATCACAGAACATCTCTGTGCTGCTGTGTAGCTCCACTCCGCTCAGCCCATCCACCCACAGTAGCACTGGATGGTTTGGTTTATACTGACACATTGGAACAATTTATTGAGATTCTCCTTCCTGTCTTTCAGTGCTGTCCGTTGTCACGTCAGTCAGAATCATGTGAGTTTGCTGACGATGGCTTGGTTGAGAGAGTTGAGTTGTTTAGTCCATTTGTCTAGGGCAGTGTAGCGCGCCCCTCCTCTCTTCTGGTAGTCTAGCTCCAACAGCTGGTTAACCTGGTCGATACGGCCTTGGATGGTGCTACAGGGAGGGAACCACAGCACAACACAGTGATCAGAGAACAATGGTTCAAACAAAGAAATAATTACAACACTAGAATGGACGTTGGCATCCTAGCAACATGACTAAGCATGTTTTTCCAATATTGTATAAAACAATGCATTTCTATATAAAAATGGGATCAACAACATATCAATATTTGCTTCAATTATGGTTCAAATGACACTAATCACTGTGGGTAGCATTTGAGTTGCAGTCATTGTTTAACTTGTTTCCCGGTTTGGTTTCCATCCAGCTCCTTAACCACTGATGTGTGTACTCTCACAACCAATTATCACATATCTACACTACGCTGTCTGATAAAACATTCCACCACCTCCACATTCCACTACATACACTACATATTCTGTTTCTGTTGAGCTCTGTGACGACGGTGGGAATGCAGTGTAAAATGTAAATCTATTGTTCCAGTTGACTGGCTGTAGATCTGATCTGGCTGAGGGCAGTAAACAATCCAATATACAGCAGTCTGCTATAGTAGCATGGGAAATAATAAAGCCATGAAAGAAAGATAGATAGATACCCGCAAACTGTTGATTTCTCCCAAAGTTTTATTTGCCCAACGTTTTGACCCAAAGGTCTTCATCTGGCTGACAAGGACCTTTGGGTCAAAACGTTGCACAATAAAACTGCGGGAACAATTAACAGTTTGCAGGTATCTTTCTTTCTTTCATCAGTTTACTTTTTGTAGCCTGCAAGTTACTGGATGTGCATGTGTACACTACTTCTAAACTAAATAATGAAACCAGTAATCAATTACAGATCTACAGTAAACTAAGCAGGGCACTCAGGGAGGAATAACACAAACAGAGAGAGAGAGAGGAGAGGGAGGGAGACAGACTCATGCTGGCCTCCTGCATTCCTCAGGGTGCAATGTGGAAACAATGAGGAACTGAAAAGAGGAATTGTAATTATTCCCGTACAGGAAACATGTCTTAATACACATGCACAAGAAACATGCTCTGCTTCGTGCGTCATCTTGTGATGTCTCTGTGTCAGCCATGTTGATCATGTACACTATACACTGAGTATACTTGCTGTCCCCCCCCCCCCCAAAAAAAAGAGTTGTTTGTTCTTTCGACCAAGCGATTGGTCGAAATTTTAAAACGTGTATTCTTCAATTTATAGACATCCTTTATTTGAATAAAATCAACTATATATATATATATATACATACATACATACATACATACATACATACATACATACATACATATATAGGCTACTGAGCATGTCTGAAGCTTAAAGCACTGCGATTAAAAATGAAGACACAAATTACCAAAGGAGGGCGGCAGGTAGCTTAGTGGTTAAGAGCGTTGTGGCAGTAACCGAAAGGTCGCTGGTTCTAATCCTGAGCCGACTAGGTGAAAAATCTGTCGATGTGCCCTTGAGCAAGGCACTTAACCCTAATTGCTCCTGTAAGTCGCTCTGGATAAGAGCGTCTGCTAAATTACTAAAATGTAAATGTAAAATGAGGGAGCCAGAGATCAATATAGCCTAAACAGAAGAAAAAAACATGTTCCCAACCAGACCCTCCTCTTCCCGCTGCTGCTGGCCTTCACAGCTTCTGCCGTCAGGCTCCTGAAAATGCCGGTAATAGGTTACACCAACGGTCGGCAACCTTTTCCATTTGAAGTGGCAAGTTATCGTACCATTTCTACTGATCTGCGTGCCAGTTATGATTTTCAGATGCACATTTCGTGGAACAGTTTAATTCCATTTATAATAAAGTCTTCATATCTCAAAATCAATGTTCTATCCAAATGAAAAAGTAACTTCTATTGCCATTGCCATCTATGTAAAAATAGCCTACATAAAGCCTATAAATAAAAACACTGCAGCCTGCAGGTAGAAAATATCCTGATAAAAAGAAATATCCTATAAAATCACATAAGAAGTAATCAGGTAGGCCTTTCTTTATGACGTTTCCACTGGATCAGAGCATGACATTTTTTCCCCCTTTCATGCCGAGTGGTACTTGAAAGGGAGAGAGCTGGAAATATTTTTTAAATAGGCTACGTTGAGGAACTATTTTCATTCTCAATGGATGTAAAAACAGGCTTTGTTTACTTGCTGTTTAAGGCGAAGAAAAAATTACTTTGAGCTCCACAGTGATGGTGAGTTAAGACAATCAGAAATACTAATCAGATCCCCAAATGGGCACATTTATAAGCCTACATTTGCGCGCAGGCCAGGTATCCTAGGCCTGCTTCTGTGCGTCTCCTTACTCAAGATTGACAGGAGCGCTCCAAACAAAAGAAAATGAATAACTCGTAAATAGAATGGAAATAAACCTAAACTTGTTTAGTGTAGCCTAGGTTGTGCGCTCTGCAAACAATGTGTCCACTCCTACAATGACAACGGTAAGACTGTAATAATAATTTATTGAATGCATTAAAAAGCCACTGCTGTCCAAAAAAAACATTGCTGCACATCTGAAGTTCGCAAAAGAGCACCTGGATGTTCCACAGTGCTACTGGCAAAATATTCTGTGGACAGATTAAACTAAAGTTGAGTTGTTTGGAAGGAACACACAACACTATGTGTGGAGAAAAAAAGGCACAGCACAGCACAGCACACCAACATCAAAACCTCATCCCAACTGTAAAGTATGGTGGAGGGAGCATCATGGTTTGGGGCTGCTTTGCTGCCTCAGGACCTGGACAGCTTGATATCATCGCCGAAAAATTTAATTCCCAAGTTTATCAAGACATTTTGCAGGAGAATGTAAGGCTATATGTCCGCCAATTGAAGCTCAACAGAAGTTGGGTGATGCAACAGGACAACGACCCAAAACACAGAGCTAAATCAACAACAGAATGGCTTCAACAGAAGAAAATACGCCTTCTGGAGTGGCCCAGTCAGAGTCCTGACCTCAACCCGATTGAGATGCTGTGGCATGACCTCAAGAGAGCGGTTCACACCAGACGTACCAAGAATATTGCTGAACTGAAACTGTTTTGTAAAGAGGAATGGTCCAAAATTGCCTGTTTGATGCAAAGGACATTTCCTAACAGATCATAAAGTATTATTTTCTTCCTCTACACTCCTAAATGGTAGTTTGGGCCACACATCAGATGCATGTCTAGAACAAACTTACTTGTCCAATATGCACTGCACCAACAAACTCTCCACGTCACAAACATCTATGTTCAGCTCCTGAGGCAGAGAAGACAGAACACAGGGTGTTACACTACAATCAATTCAAACAGCAACATCAATTACCTAATAAATACATTATCAATCTACTCAGCAAAGTTCATTATCGGATACATTATCAATACACACAGTGAAGTCAATGATTAACTCTAGCCTGGTCTCAGATCTGTTTGTGCTGTCTTACCAACTCTTATTGTAAAATTCATCACGCCAATGACCATGGGAGTTGGCAAAACAGCACAAACAGATCTGGGACCAGGCTAGTTAGTCCAGAAGCCAGTGCTGTCCTCAGACTTACCTTAGAGATGAATGGGATGTGTATTCTCGTGTAAGGTTTGATGAGCGCGATAAGGACCTGGGTTCTGATGTTCCGCAGCAGCTCTGGAAAATAAGACAACACAGCACTGATCAAAGTCTCTTCAGACACACACATCTACCAGAACACACACACACATCTACCAGAACACACACACACACATCTACCAGAACACACACACCATCTACCAGAACATCTACCAGAACACACACACCATCTACCAGAACATCTACCAGAACACACACACCATCTACCAGAACATCTACCAGAACACACACACCATCTACCAGAACACACACACCATCTACCAGAACATCTACCAGAACACACACACCATCTACCAGAACATCTACCAGAACACACACACCATCTACCAGAACACACACACACACATCTACCAGAACACACACACCATCTACCAGAACACACACACCATCTACCAGAACACACACACCATCTACCAGAACACACACACCATCTACCAGAACATCTACCAGAACACACACACCATCTACCAGAACACACACACCATCTACCAGAACACACACACCATCTACCAGAACACACACACCATCTCAATATGCAGCTACTGGTACATTTTGTCTCAAGTTTGTTGAAACCTCGTCTTCAATGCCACACTTCCATGTCTCGTTCATCAACAGATATGAGAAAGCCCACACACGCATAACTTCACAGATCTTCATTGTAAAGGGTTTAAACACTGTTTCCCATGCTTGTTCAATGAACCATAAACAATTAATGAACATGCACCTGTGGAACGGTCGTTAAGACACTAACAGCTTACAGACGGTAGGCAATTAAGGTCACAGTTATGAAAACTTAGGACACTAAAGAGGCCTTTCTACTGACTCTGAAAAACACCAAAAGAAAGATGCCCAGGGTCCCTGCTCATCTGCGTGAACGTGCCTTAGGCATGCTCCAAGGAGGCATGAGGACTGCTGATGTGGCCAGAGCAATAAAATTGCAATGTCCGTACTGTGAGACGCCTAAGACAGCGCTACAGGGAAACAGGACTGACAGCTGATCGTCCTCGCAGTGGCAGACCACGTGTAACAACACCTGCACAGGATCGGTACATCCGAACATCACACCTGCGGGACAGGTACAGGATGGCAACAACAACTGCCCGAGTTACACAAGGAACGCACAATCCCTCCATCAGTGCTCAGACTGTCCACAATAGGCTGAGAGAGGCTGGACTGAGGGCTTGTAGGCCTGTTGTAAGGCAGGTCCTCACCAGACATCACCGGCAACAACGTCGCCTATGGGCACAAACCCACCGTCGCTGGACCAGACAGGACTGGCAAAAAGTGCTCTTCACTGACGAGTCGCAGTTTTGTCTCACCAGGGGTGATGGTCGGATTTGCGTTTATCGTCGAAGGAATGAGCGTTACACCGAGGCCTGTACTCTGGAGCGAGATCGATTTGGAGGTGGAGGGTCTGTCATGGTCTGGGGCAGTGTGTCATAGCATCATCGGACTGAGCTTGTCATTGCAGGCAATCTCAACGCTGTGCGTTACAGGGAAGACATCCTCCTCCCTCATGTGGTACCCTTCCTGCAGGCTCATCCTGACATGACCCTCCAGCATGACAATGCCACCAGCCATACTGCTCGTTCTGTGCGTGATTTCCTGCAAGACAGGAATGTCAGTGTTCTGCCATGGCAAGCGAAGAGCCCGGATCTCAATCCCATTGAGCACGTCTGGGACCTGTTGGATCGGAGGGTGAGGGCTAGGGCATTCCCCCCAGAAATGTCTGGGAACTTGCAGGTGCCTTGGTGGAAGAGTGGGGTAACATCTCACAGCAAGAACTGGAAAATCTGGTGCAGTCCATGAGGAGGAGATGCACTGCAGTACTTAATGCAGCTGGTGGCCACACCAGATACTGACTGTTACTTTTGATTTTGACCCCCCCTTTGTTCAGGGACACATTATTCCATTTCTGTTAGTCACATGTCTGTGGAACTTGTTCTGTTTATGTCGCAGTTGTTGAATGTTGTTATGTTCATACAAATATTTACACATGTTAGGTTTGCTGAAAATAAACGCAGTTGACAGTGAGAGGACATTTCTTTTTTTGCTGAGTTTATATACAAGCACACACATGCACACACAAACACTACTTACCCTCGATGTGTTCTCTGATGAAGGGGTCGTCCATGATACTACTATGGTTGGTTTTCAGTATCTTCTCAAACTCTGTGATGTCATTATTCTGATAGGAGCTGGGAGCAGACACACAACAGTAGAACAGTCACTGGGTTAGAATAATGATATAATAATCCATAAAATAATGATATAATAATCCATAGAATAATGATATAATAATCCATAGAATAATGACAATGATCCATAAAATCATGATATAATAATCCATAAAATAATTATATAATAATCCATAGAATCATGATATAATAATCCATAGAATCATGATATAATAATCCATAGAATCATGATATAATAATCCATAGAATAATGACAATGATCCATAGAATAATGATATAATAATCCATAAAATCATGATATAATAATCCATAGAATAATGACAATGATCCATAGAATAATGATATAATAATCCATAGAATCATGATATAATAATCCATAGAATAATGACAATGATCCATAGAATAATGATATAATAATCCATAGAATAATGACAATGATCCATAGAATAATGATATAATAATCCATAACATCATGATATAATAATCCATACATCCATATATTGTCTTCATCCAACCACAACACCACCACAGCTCCACTATCCCACTAAAACACATTTCTAAATATTAGCCTTTTCAACATCAACAATCTATTCTTTTCTACAGTTCTGGGTGTGTTTAAAATTGTCTGTTTACATAACAACAAAGTTCAAATGCATGGAAGGAAACAGTTGGAGTCCTATTTTAGCCACCGCCTGTTTTATGACCTAAGAGAGTGTGAATAGAATAAGGGAGGAGACCAGAGCTAAAGAGCAAATGGCCTCGAAGGTGCTTTTTATGGTCGATGCCATTCAATCCGGCATCCGCTGTGTTAACGAATGCGGAGCCCGTGAACGGTAGGGCATTTATGCTTCTCACGCTGTTCAGAGCAGAGATACCAGAAACAACTGCCCCAACTCACCTATCAACCAGTCATCGTTTGTGAGTCAAACACCGAGCTCACGGAGGCCTCTGCGTTGTTTCACATTTTGAGAGGTGTACGGAGCCACAGCCTATGCACACTTCCATTTACTTCTGCAATTGCATCATAATCGTAGAGCAGACCCTCTGTGTCATGGATGCCAGATTGACCATAAATTAGGTTGAAGAGACACCACACAGCTGAACCCATGGTTAAAGGATATCTTCACTATGTTACACCTCTATCTATTAACCACTTATACAGTGGGGAGAACAAGTATTTGATACACTGCCGATTTTGCAGATTTTCCTACTTACAAAGCATGTAGAGGTCTGTAATTTTTATCATAGGTACACTTCAACTGTGAGAGACGGAATCTAAAACAAAAATCCAGAAAATCACATTGTATGATTTTTAAGTAATTAATTTGCATTTTATTGCATGACATAAGTATTTGATCACCTACCAACCAGTAAGAATTCCGGCTCTCACAGACCTGTTAGTTTTTCTTTAAGAAGCCCTCCTGTTCTCCACTCATTACCTGTATTAACTGCACCTGTTTGAACTCATTACCTGTATAAAAGACACCTGTCCACACACTCAGTCGCTTTGGATAAAAGCGTCTGCTAAATGGCATATTATTATTACTCAATCAAACAGACTCCAACCTCTCCACAATGGCCAAGACCAGAGAGCTGTGTAAGGACATCAGGGATACAATTGTAGACCTGCACAAGGCTGGGATGGGCTACAGGACAATAGGCAAGCAGCTTGGTGAGAAGGCAACAACTGTTGGCGCAATTATTAGAAAATGGAAGAAGTTCAAGATGACGGTCAATCACCCTCGGTCTGGGGCTCCATGCAAGATCTCACCTCGTGGGGCATCAATGATCATGAGGAAGGTGAGGGATCAGCCCAGAACTACACGGCAGGACCTGGTCAATGACCTGAAGAGAGCTGGGACCACAGTCTCAAAGAAAACCATTAGTAACACACTACGCTGTCATGGATTAAAATCCTGCAGCGCACGCAAGGTCCCCCTGCTCAAGCCAGCGCATGTCCAGGCCCGTCTGAAGTTTGCCAATGACCATCTGGATGATCCAGAGAAGGAATGGGAGAAGGTCATGTGGTCTGAAAAGACAAAAATAGAGCTTTTTGGTCTAATCTCCACTCGCCGTGTTTGGAGGAAGAAGAAGGATGAGTACAACCCCAAGAACACCATCCCAACCGTGAAGCATGGAGGTGGAAACATCATTCTTTGGGGATGCTTTTCTGCAAAGGGGACAGGACGACTGCACCGTATTGAGGGGAGGATGGATGGGGCCATGTATCGCGAGATCTTGGCCAACAACCTCCTTCCCTCAGTAAGAGCATTGAAGATGGGTCGTGGCTGGGTCTTCCAGCATGACAACGACCCGAAACATACAGCCAGGGCAACTAAGGAGTGGCTCCGTAAGAAGCATCTCAAGGTCCTGGAGTGGCCTAGCCAATCTCCAGACCTGAACCCAATAGAAAATCTTTGGAGGGAGCTGAAAGTCCGTATTGCCCAGCGACAGCCCCGAAACCTGAAGGATCTGGAGAAGGTCTGTATGGAGGAGTGGGCCAAAATCCCTGCTGCAGTGTGTGCAAACCTGGTCAAGACCTACAGGAAATGTATGATCTCTGTAATTGCAAACAAAGGTTTCTGTACCAAATATTAAGTTCTGCTTTTCTGATGTATCAAATACTTATGTCATGCAATAAAATGCAAATTAATTACTTAAAAATCATACAATGTGATTTTCTGGATTTTTGTTTTAGATTCCGTCTCTCACAGTTGAAGTGTACCTATGATAAAAATGACAGACCTCTACATGCTTTGTAAGTAGGAAAACCTGCAAAATCGGCAGTGTATCAAATACTTGTTCTCCCCACTGTATGTGATGTAAAACAATAACAGTTTGGGTCGACTGACAACACTACACAAATAAGTGGAAATAGGTTGTAAATAGTGAAGATATCGTTTAACTGATGCCATGGCTTTCTACCCTAAAATATCACCAACACCACCATGGATGACCCAGAAGCACACGTGTTCTTACCTTACTAGATTTGTCATGGCCAAGATCTCTGGGTCGTTTTTATAAGGTTTGGCCTGTCACAGAAAAACACAATAAGAACAGCCACTGTAATACAACACTTTATCAAGCAGTGTTTGCTGCAGGTGATTTGAATACCATTAATGCAATGTTGTTGCCGCCAACAATATAAAGGTGCGTGATGCAACCACCACGTGTTGCTATGGAGTTGTGAAATAAACAATGTATAAATATAACAATATCAGATAATCATAAAAATAGACTTGCCCTGAATCTGATTAGTAATATTTTCCAATATAAATCAGATGCAGATATTTTTCCCATAATGTCAGTGATAATGTTAGTAATTGCTCTAAGGGGATAAATAAAATGGAATTCAACTGGACTTAACTAAACTGAACTGACTGAATGAGGGTTGTACCTCCTGTGAGTCGAATGGGTTGATTCCAGACTTCATGAGCATGTTGGCCAGCACCAGGTACTTCAGACAGGTGGTTCTCCTGGGGCTGCCTGACTCATCGTAGTTCTTAAACGCCTCAAAGAAGTCTGTGTGGGCCTTCTCAAACTCCCCCTCTCTCAGGTGCATCTTACCCCCACACTCTGGGGAAGGGGACCAAACAAGAACAGGCCTGTTACTACATCACATAAACACACGCAGTGACACACACACACCTTTTTACCATATTAGCGATTTTATCCTCCAATTGTAAAAAGGTACAGTACTTGTCTGTGACTCTTTCAGGGTCTCGCCTCGATAGTGGCAAATCTCCCTGAGACTCCCTACAGGTCAGTTTACAAGTCCTAACTATAGAATTACTATTCTAAGGAGGATTCTATTTCTATGGTCATTTTCTATTTATTCAATGTGTACCACTGTGTGTGTGGCTCCGATGCAATACATGTAATAGATACTGTTGACAGCTATCCTGCCTTCAGGGGTTCCTAATTCTACGGTGGTAACACTCACCCCTGATGACTCCCATGATGAGTGGGTGAGGGATAGCAGACTTGATGTGCAGGGACTGTTCATACAGGGCCTTCAGCTTCTTGTTGTTCTTCTGGGTTGTGTACATCTGGATCTCCAGAGCATAGATCTCCAGGAGCTGGGTGCCTTTCTTTAGGTCGTCCTCCCCGTCATCTGTCTAGAGAGAGACATAGATATACAACATTACAGATCATATACACATAACAGACCACAGATCTTCAACATCGTCTGTCTGCAGTGCACATAGATATAGAGCATAACAGATCAGATATACACATAACAGACCATAGATCTCTAACATAATCTGTCTGCAGTGCAGATAGATATACAACATAACAGATCATACTAGTATACAACAACAACAAAAAATACTGCTAGCAGCCATATTGGGAACTTGGAAGTTGGCTACTGTGGATCACTCCTAACCTCAGATGGCTGTGTAAACCCCATCCGACTAAACGTTGTCTCAGACTACCACCTGTCTTACTGTACCTGACAGGACTGGTGCAGCTGTCTGAGGATCTTCTGTAACTTCCCAAACTCCTCCCTCTCCAGGTACAGCTTGCCCAGCTGAAACACAACAACAGGACCAGTTAAAACAGGCTGAGAGACAACAAGAGGACTTCAGTTAAAACAGGCTGAGAGACAACAAGAGGACTTCAGTTAAAACAGGCTGAGAGACAAAACAACAACTTATATGTTTGTGCTATCACTAAAAAAGGGCTTTACGATGTTGTTTGGCAAATAATTTAACACAAACAGATCTGGCTACGAGTCTAGGGCATTGCAGAGGTAAAAACTCCCAAACACAGAGGTCTGAAACTGACAGGTCAGATATTGTCCTACCCATAGAAATAAACAGAAACATTGTGTACTACATGCATATGTCCCAATTATCTCCCCTTTCTCCCAAAGTGTGCACTTGTTCACTTCAATAATTTGAGAGAAATTACTAGTCCATGCCTCCACCAATCCACTGCTTTTAGGTTTTTATTGTAAGTAGTGACCGAGTGCACACTTTAGGAAAAAGGTAATATTAATGGGACACACCCTACCTTTGTGTTGGTTTTGAACCAGAGTCTGTCGTTCTTGGCGTCCTTCAGAGCGTCCAGAGTCGTTTCATAAAACTCCTGCAGCAGGTCCATCTGTGACACATAAAACAACCAACCACAACCCACATTTAACACCTCAGTCATCTAGAACATGGAACCACAGCCCACATTAACACCCCAGTCATCTAGAACATGAACCACAGCCCACATTAACACCTCAGTCATCTAGAACATGAACCACAGCCCACATTAACACCCCAGTCATCTAGAACATGGAACCACAGCCCACATTAACACCCCAGTCATCTAGAACATGAACCACAGCCCACATTAACACCCCAGTCATCTAGAACATGAACCACAGCCCACATTAACACCCCAGTCATCTAGAACATGAACCACAGCCCACATTAACACCTCAGTCATCTAGAACATGAACCACAGCCCACATTAACACCCCAGTCATCTAGAACATGAACCACAGCCCACATTAACACCCCAGTCATCTAGAACATGAACCACAGCCCACATTAACACCCCAGTCATCTAGAACATGAACCACAGCCCACATTAAACACCCCAGTCATCTAGAACATGAACCACAGCCCACATTAACACCTCAGTCATCTAGAACATGAAACCACAGCCCACATTTAACACCCCAGTCATCAAGAACAAACAGTTCACATAACTTGAGATTTGAGCCAAAATAAAGTTCTGATCTTTGTTCTAGTTCCAGGTATTGTGTCTATACCTGTTTGGAGGTGGAGATGTAGTCTAAGATGGAGTTGATGGATTTCTCTGAGTAGTTTCTGGTCACAGCGCTCCTGATGTACGTCAACAGCTGCTTGTACCGAGACATCATCTCTGGGAAGTTGGTCTGCAGGACACACACAGTTTACCAGGAGATAGGGCATTGAGTTAAGTTGTAGTGGGAATGACAGTATGCCGTAAAGAAAAGAAAAAAACTCACAAGCACTAATCATATGGACTTAGAGACAGAGAGTTGACATTGAGATAACGCTACAGCACGTTTAATTTCTTACCAGCTTGAAGTTGATTTTGATCATCTGTTTTAGGGCTTTGAACCCCCATTCTCCCTTCTCTCCCTCCAGCTCCAATACCTGCCAATGGAGAGTATACATTATATCATACATTCATCAATATGTGAGTGAGTGAGTGGAGTGAGTAGCCAGTACCCACCTTCTGGAAGCTGCTGAGAGCTGCTTTGGGTTCATCCTCCTTCAGTGCTTTGGAGTTGTAGTACTGGTTCTCCAAGTCGACGTTTGGCTCTGAGTTACTGTCCTCGGAATATTCCTGGGTTGAGACATAAACTCGGGACATAAGTTAGCTGGCTATGAGCTAATACAACTCAGATTGATAACGTGACAGAGATGTTATGATTGGGCTAACGGCTTGCCATAGTTGTTTACTAATGAGGCTAAGTAGCAAGCTGTTTTAGCTAACCAGCATCGGCGCATGCTCGGTTAAAGGATAGTTATCTACACCTAGCTAGCTGGTTAACTAAACGCTTGTATGTTCGTGGCTAGCTACGATAACATGTTACAAAAAATTGACTAGCATAGCTAACTCAGTATACTATATATATATAAACTCAGTTTCCCCCATGCCAAGCAGCTGAGTTTAGCTAGCACTAGCAGCAACTTTGCTAGCTAGCCTCGCCTTTATGCTAACGTTAGCTGAACTAGCTATCTATCGAGGTAGTTTAGCTAACTAGCTAGCTACCTCCTCTGCTCTGATCTAGCTAATGCAAATATACTAGCTAAGGAAGCAGCTCTGATTAGACATTTTAAAAAACAAGGAAATAGAAACGTATTATGTAAACTTACGCTTACCAGATCATAATCTTCTTCATCATCGCACATGAAATCATCTTCCATGTCAGACATCTTGACGGGTCTTCGGAAACAACAAACAAACCGCAGCTATACAGCGCCACCAAACGCTACGCGGGTTGGTTTCAGCACAGTACTGCAGGATTCTTTCTAGTATTGTAGTTCGCTCTTCTATCCGAAGATGACGCTGTCACATCACATTTAGGGCGTGTTCGTAAATTCAATCTGGAGTGACAGGATGCGCTCTGGGCGTTCTTAAATTCAGAGCGTTTTCTCTGGGAGCGTTCAGAGCGCAAGCTGGACGCTCTGGCGGAGGAGTAGGGTTGATCCGAGAGTTCTGACCTCAAAACGGCAGTCAAGAACCCAAGTTTACTGGCTAACGTTGGCTAGCTTGCTAGCTACTTCCAGACACAAATGAGAGAATACCTCACTCTGACCATTTTACTCGCCCTAGGCTGTTTTCATGTTATCCAGAGCGTTAGTGATTGTAACTGTGCTGCTGGCAACAATTTAATTGCGCTATTTTGCAGACGTTTACTGACACCGGCCATATTCAACCGGTATTGAGCGTTCGCAAATGCATGAGTTATTCTGCGCTCTGGCACACAGGCGAGAGTGCTCTAAAATCTGAGTAGATAGCCAGAGCGAATTTATGAAGATAACCTTGGTCCAGCTACAATTCAGAAAGAAGTTTAGATCTGTAAGATTTCTAGGCTTTTCAATTAATTACATTTGACTCACAGATACCTATGACTTACAGATAACTATCTTACGTTATCATCATAGAAATAGCCATAAAAAACGTGCATCACAAATCAAAGGGGCAAGCATGAGAACCATTAATTTATGTAGGAAGGGAGGGGGGAGTCATACACACACACACACACATTGACCCAGTTGCAATCCCACACTGAGAAATGGGTCTGAACCATGACCAGAGGTTTTCAGCATTTTGATGGGGTCGAATAATTTGTTTAAAGGGATTTCAACAGGCCAGCCTCTGGGGTACACAGAGAAAAAAGCAGCCTTGGCAGTTGGTGAGGGACTGACTCACTGAGGTATGAACTATGAATGTGGATCTATTGGAGTGTTTTTTACTAACATTGCGTGATAACGCTGGGAGGCCGTTTCAGATTAGAGTGGAGTCAACCCCGTGGATCAGGTTTAAATATATTTCATTAGTATTTTTAAACAGTGTTGGCTGCCACTCTAGTTGATTTATCCCATTATTCTGGACCATGGAGTCAGTTGGAGCATAATATTCATAATATAACCTAGTGGATCCAACACCATAGAGAGGAGAGCAGGGGGGGATGTGTCAGCACGCTGTTACTGGGAAATAGGGCTCCTTTGTCACAATATCCAGTGTGTGTGTGCAGAGATGGGCAAAAATTACAAAATACCCTAAAGACTAATGTATCAAAATAAAATACAACAATAACCTCAACAACATTCTTAGTAACGGTAACAAAAATACATTTGACTTGCTATGACTCTGATATGTGGTTGTTTATCTACTTTAGTTGAATGCACTGACTGTAAATCGCTCTGGATGCCAAATGACCAAAAATGTAAATGTGAATATGACCACTTGCAAAGCATGGGTATTATTATTCTAATAAGCTACACCCCCAAACAAGACCACTTTATTTTTTATATTTTTTATCGAATGACTTCAGATGGGCAAAGATACAGCAAAATGTATCTTGTTATAAAATACCCTAAAGAATGTATGAAAATAAAATGCGAAATACTGTTGTTTTATTTAAAAAATGTATAGGCAAAATAACAGAAAATAAATAATAGACAGACTATTTCAGTCAGATGTCTTGTGCAGTTAGAAATTGAACAAATACATATGTGAACACCAAATGTTTTTTCAATTTCAACTTATTTTAGAAGAAATAGCCCTTTTATCATTTTCTATCGGGACTGTTGAAAAGTATTTGTATATTTTGAAAATACAAAATACAGCTCTCTAAAGTATCTTGTTACAAAATACAGTGGACTGTAGTTCAGGCCAGTGAAATACAAATTACAAAATACTCAAAAGTAATTTAAATACGTATTTTAAATACATAAATACTGCCCATCTCTGTGTGTGTGTGTGTGTGTGTGAAGGGTCTGTCAGCGCCTTTATAATTGTGTTGGGTTTCTATCAACAGGACCACTGGGGAGTGACTCTCTTCCTGTTACAGTTCCAGCTAGGGTGGAAACACACACACACACACACACACACACACACACACACACACACTACACACACACTACACACACACACACACACACACACACACACACACACACACACACACACACACACACACTACACACACACACACACACACACACACACACACACTACACACACACACACACACACACACACACACACTACACACACACACACTACACAGATAAACAGAGACGGGAGAGGGGGATTTGAGTTGTAGTGGGAATGAAAGGTGTTGTAGGCCAACAGAGGACACAGCAGGCCAGCTGTGATCAGTGATCAGCCCAGCTCTGGTCTCTCTCTCTGGGCCTGTGATCAGTGATCAGCCCATCTCTGGTCTCTCTCTCTGGGCCTGTGATCAGTGATCAGCCCATCTCTGGTCTCTCTCTCTGGGCCTGTGAGTCAACTGAACCAGGCTTCTTATTATCACACTGACTCACATTGTCTGTCTGTGATGAATAGGACCATTTCACCAACCTGCCAACATCAACCTACTGGGTAACATCAATCAATAATGATTAATTGACAGTCTCTCTGTGTACGTGCCTCAAGCTTCTCTTCCTCCAGCTCCAATACCTGCCAACGGACAGAATAAATAACCACCAGACATCTGTCTGTGTGTGTGTGTGTGTCCGCTTGTGTGAGTTGATTGTGAGTGTGTGTGTGTGCACGCCTCCTGTGTATATTTGTGTGTTATTATAAACATCACAGTGCTGCCCTCTCCTCTCACCTCTCTCTCTCTCTCTCTGGTGATTCATGTAATAACTTTAAAACATTTATATTATTCCCCAACCCCTAATGTAAACAACAGGGTTTATCTGCCGTTTAATTTCGGGTTGCCAAAAACTGTTTCATGCTGCAGCTAATAACGGTAATCCAGTAAATGTAATCTTGTTTCTGACAGTTCCTTAAACATTAGCAGCCCCTTTAATGTGTCTCCAACAGGGCAGCTGGCAACTATGGCAACCACCACGGCCCTGTGTTCTCTACCCAGCATGCAGTCTGATTTTATACTTCTCTCTAAATGTGTTTCTCTAGGAAAGAGCTCACGGGAGGGGCCCTAACTCTCTTACACACACACATGCACACACACACGCACGCACGCACGCACGCACGCACGCACGCACGCACGCACACACACACACACACACACACACACACACACACACACACACACACACACACACACACACACACACCCTCTCTCCCTACCTCGCGCCCTCTCTCTTCCTCTCTCTCTCCCTCTCTGTTCTCCATGCCAGAACCCCAGGGTCATCAGAGCGGTGTTCCCTCTCTAACCTGCCCAAGATGCGTGACTAGACATTTTGTTTTCTTATTGCTGTTATTTTTTACAAGGTAGAAGCATGTCTTACTTTTATACAGCAATTTGTGTTCGGCGGTGATGTTATTACACATCAAACCCGGCTTGGAGAGTAGAAAACACGCTGCTGCCAAGTCTACACACACCCTCTCCACACTCACCCTCTCCACACACACCCTGCTGGCTATGGTATGTGTCTGGTGAAGGGGTTGAGGTTTGGGGGTGGGGTGAGGGGTGTGTAGGGGGTTGAGGTTTGGGGGTGGGGTGAGGGGTGTGTAGGGGGTTGAGGTTTGGGGGCGGGGTGAGGTTGTGGGGGTACTGTACGTGTTAGTGAGGGTGTGTATGTAGGGGTTTAGTGTGTATGTGTGTGCTGGGCAGAGGGGGATGTGGATGCATGTGCTTGTGAAGTGTATGTTTGGAGTGTAAAGGGGTGTGTGTTGGTCAGGTGGAGTGTGTTTGGAGTGTAAAGGGGTGTGTGTTGGTCAGGTGGAGTGTGTTTGGAGTGTAAAGGGGTGTGTGTTGGTCAGGTGTAGTGTGTTTGGAGTGTAAAAGGGTGTGTGTTGGTCAGGTGGAGTGTGTTTGGAGTGTAAAGGGGTGTGTGTTGGTCAGGTGGAGTGTGTTTGGAGTGTAAAGGGGTGTGTGTTGGTCAGGTGGAGTGTGTTTGGAGTGTAAAGGGGACCAGACAGACCAGACACCCAGACCCTGAAGCAGTCAGCCCAGAGTGCAGGGTTCAGCTGCCCTTCCTCTATTTTATTTTATTTATTTTTATTTCACCTTTATTTAACCAGGTAAACCAGTTGAGAACAAGTTCTCATTTACAACTGCGACCTGGCCAAGATAAAGCAAAGCAGTGCGATAAAAACAACATATATGGCTGGGGAGGGGTACAGTATATGGCTGGGGTATAGGTCTCCCTCCCTGCATCTTCTCTTAG